TTCCCTTTATTTGTTGTCAGAGTGACACTTCAGGAGACTACCGGAAAATCCTACTCAAGTTGTGTGGTGGAAATGACTAAGTGGAACATACACTTTTTTTTAAAAAGCAGCTGTTTTTATGTTATCGCTTTAAAATGACATTTTTCAAAAACCAGATGTGGTGACTTATTTTCCTGAAGCTGTTATGCTTGTAAAATTAATTTTCTGTATCTCATCCCTTCCAGTCAAAAATAGGATATCTAACTATTGTAGGACGGGTGCCAGGTTTTTTTAGTCCTTTAATTCCACACCCTGCCCCGACACACACACTTTCCCCCTTTCCAGATGAATGACAGGTTATCTTTGTTTGCATTCTTAAGCTGAAATACTATTTTTGTTTCTGGTACAAAAATCAGCCTTACTGCATGATTCAGTAATTCAATTTTTTTCTTTTGTATGGACAGTATATGTGCCACTTTATTAATGCAAATGTTCTTGTTTGTGTTGTGCACAGCAGTGCTTTCATGGTGATGTTCTTCCTGTGTGAATACAACTGCCTTCTTGTTGTTCTTCATCAAGATTGTTTTGAGAAGTTTTGCCAAATGCCTCTTTCCCCCCCCGCCCCAAGGAAGACTTGCTCTATATTATTTCATGTTCTTCAATGCAAATATCACAAGATTCTAGCCTCTGCCAGTAAACCTTTCCAGTAAACGTTTTTAATTGTGCCTTAAAATCAAACATATGTATCTAAAAGCAGATTGTAAAATTAAAGGTATCTATCTTGTAAACTTCCTGGAACAGTTTTACTTTTGTGCAGACATTTCTGTCCTACAGGCATATTATAACTCAGTTGAAGGACCTTTTTAGAACTTCCATGGAAAAACCCTGTGAGAACAGATAAAGAAATATCTGTGCCAGACTGGCTGAAGGGCTGGTCACTCAATCTCTGACTAATACTGAAGTTTTTCTTGAGTTAAGAAACTCCGTGTGATCTGTGAGCATCTGGTTTATATAACCTCTGGTCAGCTCTTCTCCATGGAGCATGCAAGTCTTTCTACTCTGGCTCTTGTAATTTCCCTGCTCTGATTGGTTTTATGTACTCAGAATTTTTCAGCTTTTTACTAGCACAAGTTCTCATTAGCTTGTTCTTTGGAAAGCAGAAAATGACAAAGTGTACAAAAAGGGTTTGGCAGGAGCAGACTCCTCCAAGCATGTTACTGCCAATTAGTAAAAAGAGACTATTTAAAAATACATGCCTTCTTTCTTTCCTGATTATTATTCCCTCCACCCTACTGTTAACCCACTGAAGCTTGTTCCTAAAATAAGCCATGCTGTTGTTGATGTTGGGAGAATCTCAGCCCTTCCAAATTTAGGTTTGAGGTGACATAGCACAATATATTTTATTCTGTGGAGAAGAGCCTGCCTGAGTCCCAGAGAGAGAGAGATGAAAGGTGGATAGATGTCATGTGACTGAACTCAGTTTAAAAAACCTACTTTGCCTTTCTGTAGCCTTGCTCAACCTGTGCCTGTTAAAACCTTCAAGAAAATGGGAATAGCCTGCCTACATAATAAACTTAGCTTGAGCTAGTATGCTTCTTGGGCTTCAACCTTTTTATTTTTATTTGATATAAATGCCCGCACCTTTTGGGACTGGAGTTATTTCAGCGCCAGGTATGATTACCTTTACTAAAAGGGTAAGGCTGTTGTAATATCATTTTAGCTTAGAGTCCAGCTTCATATACAAGTGACTTAATTTACAAGTGACACACCTACTTCAGTTAGCAGCAAGGATGCAAGCGTTCAGAGTCAGAAGGCTCCATGCTGTCTGTTCTGTTGGAAATCCTCTCTGTATATTAACTAAATTCTAAAAGGAAGGCACAGCTGAATTTGCATCTCTATCAGTGTACACCTGTAGTAATTGCTTAATTCTCTCATTGAAAAGGGCTAACAGCCTTTTCAGAGATTCTGAGATTGGGAAAGTTGTGTTTTACCTGGTTGTGTATGGGGTGGTCTAGAGGCTAAGGATCTGCATCTTTGGACAACCAGCGCAGGTTTGGTGAAGAGTAGAATCTGAATTCTGTAGGATACAGAGTTTTAAAATGGCATTGGAAAAGCAAATATCTTTATTTTAAAGAAGCACAGAAAAAAGTAATTTATTGTTCAGGACTGTTTATCTTAGTTCAAAATCTAGAACCATTCTAAAGTTTCTTAAAGCACAAAGTGCAACAATGTAAAGCAACAATGACTTGTTATATTCTGATCTCTTCCATCTCCCTGGTGCTCAGCTGGCGTCTGTGGAGAGAAGAGTTAATGCAATTAATTTTGGGTGACAGGAAGACTAAATGAATGCTTGAAAAATCTAAGTACAGCAGTTGTCCCTTAAAACAAGGGGATAGTTCTGCAAAGCGAGAGACTGACTTCGTTGACATTTGATTAGAGGGGGAAGAGTCTGGCAGTCTCTGATTCCTGGACCATCTATAACTTCTTCCAACCCTGCCACACCATATGTTGTACTTGCGGTTTGTACATAAATAACACTTGATCACAAACTAAATTTGCATCTGACTTTTTGAAAATTCCTCTAACATTTCCCCCAAAGTAATTTTCTCTTTGAAAAAAGTTGTGGTTACTGTAGTTGAGAGCAGTCATTGCTAATTAATTTAAGTTAATAGAGGGACAGTATAGCCCAGGGGTGGGCAAAATGTGGCCCAGGGGCCGGATGCGGCCTGCCAGACCATTCTACCCGGCCCGCGGGGCCCCTAAAAAAATTTAGAAAATTAATATTAATCTGCCCTGGGCTGCCTGTCACGTGGCCCTCAATGGCTTGCTGAAACTCAGTAAGCAGCCCTCTGCCCAAAGTAATTGCCTGCCCCTGGTATAGTAATGAACAGGATGATAGACTGGGACTCCAAGGATTTGAATTTTAATCCCAGCTTCTCCCACTGACAGGGAGAGAGGGTTTTCTTGATGGCTGATCTGAAACGGGAATGAATAATGTGTACCCCAATTACACATTTCTTCAACCTGCATTCTCTAATATAAACAGACCTCAGCATGGATGTTTAAAGAAACAGTCAAACTCCTCGAGAGAGAGACTTAGAAAAAGAGAGCACTAAAATCACATGTGATAAGGTATTAGTCATTGGGACTAACAGGTACTTGGTGGTGTGTGCTATTCATCTATAAAGGGCCTAATAGAAGTGGTCTTCTTTGTCCCTCTATTTGCAGATTATATTAACCTCTGCATGTATTTTTACATCAGAGATAATAGGGTATGTGGAATGGTATAACAGTAGTTATTGCCAACTGTGCTGATACCCTGCTACGTCTCAGTGAGATAAATACCATCAAAAATGTCCTTGAGAGGGGTCCCAGGAGGAACAGGGACATTCCACGCTGTTTCACTGATGGTATTGAGCAGTGCCTTCACTTCTGAGTCCAAATAGTCCACTGTTTTTTCTACCTGCTAATAAAAACAAAAGAGAGAAAGTTGGTGCAGGATGAAGGAAAGAGTAGCAAATGTGTTGTAAAACCTACTAGCTAAATCTAGGAGGCCTCAACTAGCTAATGGAGTTGGTAGAACTCTCTAGTGCTTTCATATTTCTTGAGTTTTGCTGACCCCTGGTGGCCAAGAGAAATGAAATCTTGTTTGCTTTTTTTTTCCAACTAGTTGAAATGCTTGGAAATTAGGTGCTCTGGAAGAAGGACTTGAATGGATTTGTTTGTTGTTTTCTCATACCAACTGATAGGCTAGGTTAAAGGAGCTGAGCATGAGTTACCCATATCAATTCTGTGGGTGCTTAAACCATGGCAAGACATTAAAGGGCTTTACTAGAAGTCCATTCATTGGTTCCATTTGGATTTTAATACCTGCAGTGATGCAGCCACCTCCTCCTGTTATTATCAGTATTAGATGAGCGAGTATGGTAGCAGACTGAATATGTGACTTCAGGCAAGTAATAAGGTTTAATATAAACCTTGCCACACCAGTATTAGACATCCTGAGCTTGCCAGTCCACACATTTGCCCAGTCTATACTCCCATCTAGCTGCTAGTAAAAGAATAAAATAAAATGAAAAAAATAGGGCAGAATTCAGAACTCGACTATTTTCTGCAAACTTTTGGGAAGCCTGAACAATTAGTGAATTGGTCATTGGTGAACTGACTGCGGAGGGTCCGAGTCTGAGACTGAGTTCTATGGTAGGCTGAGTCGGTTCTGTTGTAGGATAATTCAATACTTGGACAAACTATTGCAACCTTTCATTATAATGCACCTTGTAAATGAGTTTAGTATCCTCAAGATATGTTTATAAATACTTCAAGTGATGTCTTAATTTGTTAATCAAATATTTAGAGTCCAGCAAGTTAATACATTCCTAATAATGATGGCTTTCCATCATCTCTAAAACCATTTACCTTTGTGCTTAACTGTCTGCAGTGCTGCTAGGGCTGTAACAGTTGTTGCAACACTTGCTAATCTTTTAACACTAAACACGCTCATGATATCAGGTGTGACCAAAGCGTCTTAATAAAATGGAAACACAAAGAAACAGCCAATCCTTGGCATTCAACCCAATTTCCAAACAACCTTTGACACGCACAGGAGCACTGCTCCAAATAAGCAAAGTTACTATGGGTGGAATTAAGGTTCCATGGAAGCCATTGGCAAAATGGCTAACTGCTCAGAAAAACAGACCTTATGATGAGAGGCTGAGAGCTATGGGACTCTTCAGCCTGGAAAAGCACAGGCTCAGGGGTGATCTGATGGCCACCTATAAGTTTATAACGGGTGTCCCCCAGATCCTGGTGAAACATTTGTTCACCAGAGCGCCCCAAGGGATGACAAGGTCGAATGGTCATAAACTCCTCCAGGACCATTTCAGGCTGGACATAAAGAAGAACTTCTTTCCTGTCTGAGTCCCCAAGGTCTGGAATAGCCTGCCATTGGAGGTGGTTCAAGCACCTACTTTGAATGCCTTCGAGATAAATTTGGATGTTTATCTTGCTGGGAACCTATGACCCCAGCTGACTTCTTGCCCCTGGGGCAGGGGGCTGGACTCGATGATCTTCCGAGGTCCCTTCCAGCCCTAATGTATATGAAATCTATGAAAAGACTCATTGAATTCAGTGAGGCCAAGATGTCACCACATATCCTTAAACCTTAACAGCTCTTGCTAGTTGTGCAAGAACTCCCCAGATGTAAGGCTTAAGCCAGCTAAATGGGTTTGAGATGGGGGCGGGCAATTATTTTGGGTGGAGGGCCACTTACCCAGTTTTGGCAGGCTGTCGAGAGCCGCCCCTTGACCGGTGCCCTGCCCCCTGGTCACCGTCTTGGGACCATTGTCCCAATGTCTTTGGTCCCAAGAAATTGGGACATTGGTCCCATGTCCCAGGGCCAGCACCAGTGTGGCCCAAAGCGGGGCACAGGCTGGCAGGGGTCTGTGGAGCCAGGCTGGGCTGCACCAGCAGGGAGAGGGGGGAGCTGGCCCAGCTTTACTCCTGCCACCCTGCTCTGGGCCTCGCCGGCACTGGCCCTGGGACACCGGTGTGGGCCCCGTGCTCCTGCTGGCTCTCTGCCCACTCACTCCTAGTGCCCCCCCACCCCCGTGGTACAGGCGGGGGGCAGCGCACAGCCCCAACCCCCTGCTCGCCAGCAGGGAAGAAGCTGGTGCTGAGCATGGGGAAAAGCAGCCCTTTGCCTGCTCTATGGCTGGTTCTCCATGCTGCAGTTGCTTGCAGCCCACACGGGGCTGTCCTGAGCAGGCACAGGTAGCCCCGTGCGGGCTGCAAGTGGCTGCAGTGTGGGATGCCAGCCATGGGGCGAGTGAGGGGCCGCTTTTCCCCATGCTCAGCACCAGCTTGTAACCCGCCCATGCTGCCAGCCTGGGCTCTGCGCCGGCTCTGGACTTGCCCATCAGGGCTGCAAGTGGTGGCAGCAGCTGAAGCCCCCCTGCTTGCCGCACCAGGCAGTTTTGGCTGCTGCTGCCCGCCTGGAGCCCGTGGGCTGGGCAGCCCACAGGCGGCAGTGGCAAACACTGCCCAGCACAGCAAGCTGGGGTCTCCACAGCTGCTGTTGCCACACGCAGCCCCGACGGGTGAGCCCAGAGCTGTGCGGGGTCCAGGTTGGTAGTGGGGCTGGGTTACAAGGTGGTGCTGAGTGTGGGGGTGGGGGGAAGTGGACCCTCGCCCACCCCATGGCCAGTGCCCCGTGCTGCAGCTGCTAGCAGCCCATCTGTGTCTGCCTATCCCTGCTCTGGACAGCTCTGTGTGGGCTGCAAGTGGCTTCAGCAGTGAGTGCCGGCCACAGGGCAGAGAAGGGCCACTTTCCTCTGTGCCAGGAAGGAGCAGGGAAGGAGCCCGGGGAAAACCTGAGCATGGAGAGGGAAAAACAGCCTTTCCCCTGCCCCATGGCCACCACTCCCTACTGCAGCCGCTCGCAGCCTGCACAGGGCTGTCCGGAGCAGGCACAGGCAGCCCCAGGTGGGCTGCAAGCAGCTGCAGTGCAGGGCACCGGGCACGGGGCAGGGGAGGGGCCGCTTCCCCCCCCACCCCCACCCTGCGCTCAGCTTTTCCCCAGGCAACTTTTCCCTGGGCTCCTTCTGTGCCCTTCCCCCCACTTCCCCTTTACCTGTGATTTTTGCATGGGGCAGCCGCATGGCCCCAGGCCAGAAGCCCCTGCTGGGGCTTCCGGCTGGTGGGGGGGGGGCCCCTGCTGTTGTGGGATCCTGACAGGGCTTCCCCTGGGTCCTACTGTCCTTGGTTCCTGTCATTTTTGACAGGAACCAAGGGCAGAGAAATATTAATTTTTTTAATTTTTTAGGGGCCTTGCGGGCCAGACAGAATAGCCTTGTGGGCCACATCCAGCCCGCAGGCCATATTTTGCCCACCCCTGGTCTGAGAGGTGCCTGGGAAAAACATGTCTGACAATGTGACCTGTTTCTCAGCTCTGCCACATGCAACTTTTGAAAAGGAACAAAAACTTTTGTTTGTTACCTCTTCAATAACATCAAGGCGCCTGTGGATTGTGTTGTGATCATTGCACCACTCTGTCCCCTGTGAACTTCCTGGTGACACGCTGACAGGATCTGCAGTAGCTAAAGAAACAATCACAAGTAAGGGCATTTCAGTAGTTAATAGTCAGTGATCTTTGATAAGACAGCTAATGACATGAATATCTGAATATAAAGCAGCACTCCAGGTGGTAAACAGTCTAAATTATGAAATGTAAATGTAGTTCTGCTAAGTAGATACAAGCAATTTACCTGCGGGCCTAATTGCAAACTCCCAAAGTCATTCCCTTGGTAACTACTAGGGCTGCGCGAAACGGCACCCTTGCATTTCGATGGAACAGCATTTCATTTCGAATTTCATTTCAATTCAAAACTACTGTTCCATTTAATTTCGTTGAAACAGTTTAGCTGTTTTGACGTTTTGCCCATAGGCTATAATGGGAAGCTTGAAACAGTTTATAATTTGTCATTTCTGGCCTGATTTGGATGAAACTTTCAAGAATGGTAGCCCCTTCTGAGGGCATAAAGTCTGCCAAGTTTCAAGGAGATAGGTGCAGGGGTTTCAGGGAAACTACACCTCAAAATCTTGAAAGTAAAAAACTCATGTCATGTGCATGTGTTAAGCCACAGTGGGGTCAAAACTGCAGGCTGGCTAGCTCTTGCTGAGGCAACGAAGCCTGCCAAGTTTCAAGGAGATAGGTGCAGGGGTTTGGGGGAAACTGCACCTCAAGCTACAGACAAGCAAAACTCGTGACATGGGTGACACTGTGTGTTAAGGTGCAGTAGGATGAAAGCTGCCAGTCTGCTAGCCCCTGCCAAGGCCACGAAGCCTGCAAGCTGTCAAGGAGATAGGTGCAGGGGTTCTGGGGCCCTGCACCCCTAGCTGCTGACAGGCAAAATATGGGACATGGGCAGGGCAGTTCAAACAATGCTGCCTTTTATGCAATTTTTCCATCCCTCCCCCAGAGCACTGGGATTGGAAGGGACCTCAGGGAAGGATGGCAGTCACTGGCCAGCTACGCAGTCAATAATGAGAGCACTCCTTCCCCCCCTCTTCCAACTCCCTCTCCTTACTTTAGTTTCTGTTTCCCTGCAGGCAAGCCGAGCTTGACCTTTGAAACTCAAAACGTTTCAAAAATTTCAAAACATTTCTACTTGCCTTGTTCTGTTTTGAGGCTGTTTTGAAGCTCTCTGTTTCATTTTGATTTTGCTGTTTTGAGCTCGAAACAAGTCGAAACAGCATCAAAACAAAACTGGAGGCAAAATCTCACACAGCTCTAGTAACTACAATTATGCATACACAATATGGGGCTTTTTGCATCCAGTGGTTTACTTTTTTGACACAGCTGTCCATTTTCATGTTGTGTAGCCTTTGTTTTGTCACACAGCATATTCTGTATTTAACAGTGCTGTATACATACAAACTATATCCTGATGGTCAGGAAGGTGCAAATGCACTTAAGCCTTCCACATAAGTTTGTATTAACCTTCCTTCAAAATGCACTAGCATCTGGAAGGCAGTGAGGTTTGTCTCTCCATGCTTTGAAGGATTATGGTTATCAAGTTGCTGATGCCACTGTACATTGCTACTTAACTATTTTCTGGCATTCTAGTTTCACATTTTAGGGAGGGGAAACAATCTAGATGTATAAATGATGTGTTTTGCTGGCAAACTGCTTGTGGTGGTGCTGTTGAATGTATTTTACTCTTGGACTGTGTTATCTAGCAGTATTGCTGATTGTTTTCACTGCTCTTTTTCCTAATTTACTCAGGGACTTGACTGAGAGCACTAATAAGCTCCTTTAACTAAACAATTGTCTGTAATCCCCAAGTGTAGGTTTGGAGTCAATCAGAATGTATTAATACAGCTGTCTCATGAACAGTTTCTCTTCTAGCAGTTCCAGTTTTAGGAGTGGTGGCTTTAGGATTGCTTAGGCCCGTGTGTAAAATTCTCTCAGAATATTTAAAAATGCAATGGCTATCTTTTGATACAACAAAATGTACTGATATTTCAGTTAAGAATTCTTGATGTAAAAGGCCAGGTAGCAGTATATAGTAGTGCGTAGGACTGGGTGTGAGGAGACCTGGAGTCTGTTTCCAGCTCAATGACTTACTCTGTTACCTTAAACCAGTGACTTCACCTCCCCAGTTCTTTCTCTATCTATTTAACATGTAAAGGACAGTCTTTATGTATTAGTACAGAACCTTAAAATAGATGTTATGTGCTACTATAATATAATAAAGGATTGATTTTTAAGATGACAGCTAAAGAGACTGACAAATGGTAAAGAAGCTTTGATCTTGTAGCATCAGTGACATGACTAGCTATTAAATAAGGACCTGATTTATCATCTAAGAAATTCAGTGAGGAAACTTACTTTCAAGGTGCATGGGAGGTGGCTCAACCCTTGAAGCTGGCACTAGCCCACATGACAGAGAGCATATCACAGGTAAACAGAGTGCAGCAGCAGTCCTGGACCGAGCCCATAGAGCAGTGGTTTTCAACCTTTTATGATTTGCGGACCCATAAAAAATGTTGAATGGAGGTGCGGACTCCTTTTGAATGATACGTGTAGGTATTCACATACTTTTGATTGATCATAGTTATCTTTCATGGACCTCTTAAACAGACATAGTCTGCAGACCCCCAGGGGTCTGCGGACCACACTGCCATAGAGAGATTGGGGTTAAGCACCAGACAAGAAATTTGATATAGACAGAACATCTTTCATAGATCTGTATAAAACTGAAACCAACAACTTAAGAACTCCTAAAAACCCATTGTGTACAAGCACACCCTCATACAACCCAAGCCTTTAAGGGTAGGCAGGATAGGTAGCCACCTATTCTGTTGAGAAGTTAGGGGCAACAAAAAAGCAAGTTCACAAATGTGACACATTTATTGCTCACTGACAATACTTATTCTCTGTTTATATTTGTCAGTGAGCTATGTTGCAGTACTTGAATAAGTCGAATAACTTGTAGCTGTATGCACATGCCGTTGACTGATGGTCTTCAGTCTTTCACAGCAGCCAAACTGAAGATCAGAGTGACAATCTTGTGAAAAGAAATGTTTTTCTGGAACTAAATATCACAAAAGATGGGATTTCTGTGATTTCTGAAAACAGCTGTTTTGCTTCCAGTAAGTGAATCAGAACTCTTCTAGACACAAAAATTCATCCAATCAAAATGTCTGTGTTCCTCCTACTGTTTACTCCTTGTAAACTATCATTGTAATAAGAAATTTGCAAATTATTTCCTTAAACCTCCCCCAGAAACAAGGCTTGGAGCAGAGAACCCAATTTAGGAATCTAACAAATGTAGATGATAGGGCTATAGAATTAGGGGCACCCTGGTGTTTCCTGTCCCTGACCACACAGAGCTTGCTTTCCTGTCACAATTTTAAAGAAGGCTGTAACCAGCCCTGCCTATTGCCTGGTCAGGTGGGTGATGTGAATTTTAACCACTTCCGACCACTTACCATAGCACTGAGAGACTTCGTCCTGATAATATCCTTTAGTCTAAAGGAATTCAAGCCATAGCTTACACCTGTCAGGAGAATGCCTTAACTACAAACCCAAAGGCTGGATTGACTGTTCCTTTTACATAAAGCACTCATTTTTAACATAACTAATACCCCGAATGCTAAGATTATAATCTAAGACTCTGCCTAATAGATGAAAGCCAAAACCACTGGGCTATAGTCAGAGCCACTTCTCTTCTTTCTCCTCCTGGCCTCACCATTCCTGTCTGGCCTGACCAAAAAATTAGAAATTAACGTAAGGAGCAGACATCAGAATCTGAGTTTCACAACTGTTTGTGCAATAAAAAGTTCAAAATTGTTGTAATTTTCAAATTCTTTACTTTGTTTCATAGTTACACACTTGCCAATGAGTGGTGAATCATTTTCTTAGGGCGTGTCTACACAAGATGCTTAATGCACAATAGCCTAGTTTTACTGCATATAGCATGCATGGCAAAAACCATGCTAATATGCTAATGCGCAGTAGTATTAGTCTACTTCCCATTGTGTCACACAAAAAGCATGTGCTTGCACTGCTGTACAGTACAGCAGCCTACAAATACTAAATGTAATGCAGAGTAGGCACTATGCATTAATGAATGTGTAGACATGCCCTTAGTATTTTAGTGGAAACTGGGGAGTTAATGGGGAGAGCAGCAAAACGTACTCCTGCCTATCCTGGAAAACAGGCAATGATTGTACGTAAAAATTCCGCAAGTTTGTCTTTAAAAAGGAGGCAAACAGAGCACTCTGGTTTGGAACAAGAAGAAATTTTACAACTAGAGCGCATAGTTCTATACACTGAGGAAAGGTTGTAATAATGCACTAGACTGGGACCCAAAAGATCTGGATCCACTTTCTGGCTCCACACTCCAAGCAACCTTGGCCATACTGGCCATATCATTAAATCTCTGTTCTCCTTTTGCAAACTGGAGATTGTATCTCCATGGCTACCTGTCTTGTATGTGTCCAACAAGAGATGATGAGGCCTGATCTTGTAAATGCAAGCAAAATTTCCCAGCTCCCATGAGCACTTGATTGTAAGTGTAGTAAATTGAGAAACTGTCTGATTCTCATTTAATGAACTATTAAATAGCAGCAGAGGGAGAAGCAATTAACTCCCTGAGCTCAGCCAGTCATCCAGGTCTTTATGTTTAAGCTGGACCTGGAATCCGCAGCATTTGGCAGGAGCTCTGTGCAAAGATTTTCAAGTAGAGGTACTGGGTAGTGTCAGCTGTGCAGTAATAAAGATACCAGCTGCCCCATTTTGAATGAGCCATAGCCTGAATGTTAGGAAGAAAGGAGCTCTTGAAATTAGAATTGAAGTGACTTTAAGGCAAAGCAAAGATGTGTGGCAAAGATATATGAAATATTCCTGCTTGTGGTTTCTGGAGAGGACATGCTCCTCTCCTACCCTATTACTCATCTCATCTGTTCATCACTTGTAGAATAAATTATTTACAAAAACACCTTTTTAAGTGTGTATGAATCTGTGTGAATATGAATGAAACTGATTCTGTGTAGAAGTACCAGCAGCTTTAAAGGTTTGTTTAATATTTGG